TAATCTGGCCATTTCAGATACCAGAGACCCCAATGAAACCCCAACATGTATCAAATAAAATATACATAGGTATTCTATATGGTGGTTCCAAAAGATATTCCCACATAACCCGCGTGTGTCAGGGTTCATTGTTCAGCCAAATTGAATCCAAGTCGGATGACTACGACCAATGTGGAAGGGTATCAACAGCCTCGGCACTCGAGTGAGAGTAGTCGTATGCCTTGTTTTCTTTCGTTTGAGTTAACTTAAAAATGTTTTGATATGATCATTGTTGTTGGGTTTGTTTGGAGCGAGCAATGTCGCTATTTATAATGCCTATTTTTAACCATATACGATGTCGGACTGCGCAAATTTAATGTGGACAATCGGCAATCAGCATAGCCTAACCGGCGGACCCCCTCCCACAATCAACGCTCTCTACCCTTCTACCTCTCTCCGTCTTTACGTCTCTTTGTCTTTCTGTCATTTGGCAAATGCTGATGACCTTCACCGTAGCCCCGAACCGGTTGTATGGTTGGGGAAGGGCAGGGAAGGGAAGCCAGAGTCATGTTGGGGCCTGTGGTTAACTGATTAGCCACGAAAAAGGCTTCTGAATGTCCAGCGAATGCACTTTTCTGTGTACAGATTCCCCAGTACGTAAACGTGTTTGTTTCGGAACTGAAATCACCAAAACCTTTGGGGCTATTCACAACTCATCTGTGTTCCTTCTGCCGTTCGTCCTTTCAGGTATGCGTCGTCACCGATCGCCAGTATACGTTCGCCCAGATGCGGGATGCCAGTGCCGCCTTTGCGGTTCGCCTCCAGACAAAGTTCAAGCTCCGCAAGCCCGACGTGGTGGCCATCTGTCTGCCCAATTTGCCGGAGTACCCCATCGCCACGCTGGGCGCCATCGAGGCCGGCCTGACGGTTACCACCGTCAACCCCATCTACACCGCTGGTAAGTGGGCTCGGTTTGCTGTTTCCTCGTACAGTTGTGTTCAGAGATAAGCTATATGGCATGTACATACCTATGTATGTATATTCGCCAATTAGCATCAACAGATCAGTTGATTAGATAGTAGATAGACCTTCGCGGATGCTGATGGTTCCAGCTTTATCCATTCAAGCAGTACAAATCGGATCCCAAACTCGTATTCGTATGTCCATTCGTATTTAATCAGGGATGGCACTTGCAATTTGTACGAACCTTTGTGAAAAGTGTCCGTTCGCTTATGGGAAACATTCGAGAAACGTTCGGGAAATGACTTCAATAATAAGGGAACCTTCTTCTATATGGATAATCAAATCAATTTCATTGAGTCTTCCAAGGTACTTTAGGCCTTTTCTTCATTATGTGTAGCTGTACAATGAGATCAAGTGTACATACCATATGTATGTACATATATATGTATTTGGAGAAAAGTGTTTATTTGGGAGCTGTCAAGTGCGTCAGAGGCGGCACGGCCCGGTACGGTTCCTTATCACGACAGTACCCACTAAGCCTTATGGGAATGTTGTAGAAATCTGTTTTGCTCTGTTTCTCGGGGCTAAAGTCGAAAGATCATCATTAACATTTGTATTTACTCCCATTTGATCAATTGCAGAGGAGATAGCCCGCCAGCTAACCTTCAGCGCGGCGAATCTCATCGTGGGCACCGTCCAGAACTATGGAACTCTGAACGAGGCCTGCAAGCTGGCCGGTAAGCGGCTGCCCATTGCCGTGATCCGGAGCCGGCAGGATGATTCCCTGCCCGCGGGAGCCATCGATTTCTTCGAGCTGATTAGCACCCAGAATGTGCGCTACGATGACCTGCAGGTGCCGAAGGAGGCGACTGCGGACGACATGGTCTTCCTGCCCTTCTCCTCGGGCACCACGGGCTTGCCCAAGGGCGTGATGCTGTCCCACAACAACATCACCAGCAACTGCGAACAGGTCCAGGCCGCCCTGTCCCTAAACCTGAGCGTCCAGGACACGTTGCCCGGAGTGCTGCCCTTCTTCCACATCTACGGCCTCACTGTGGTGATGCTGTCCAAGCTTGGCCAGGGCTCCAGGCTGGCCACAATGCCGGCCTTCAAGCCGGATGATTTCATGAAGGCCCTGGACCAGTACAAGGGCAGCATATTGAATCTTGTACCGCCCATAGGTGAGTCCATGAATACGACTAGAATACGATAGCGGAATGATAATAATTGGATCCTCTGTCTGTTCCAGCGCTCTTTATGATCAATCATCCCAATATAAATGAGGCGACGGCCCCCGCATTGAGAGTTGTGATGAGCGGAGCCGCACCTATTGGCCAGCACGATGTAGAGCGTTTTCTGCAGAAGTGAGTGCCATGCCCCCCAAAAGATCTTAACCGTTATGCTTTATGCTTAAAATAACACTCTCGACTCCACTTTTTAGGTTCCCCAAGGTCGCCTTCAAGCAGGGCTATGGCATGACCGAGGCCTCGCCTGTTGTGCTTCTTACACCAGAAGGCAATACACGCTACGCCTCCACGGGCATCCTTTCAGGCTCTACTGAGGCCAAGATTGTGCCCCTGGATGGCGCTGATTTGAAGGGTGTGGGACCCCGTACCACGGGCGAGCTGTGTGTGCGTGGACCTCAGGTGATGTCCGGATATTTGAACAACGAGGAGGCCAACCAGGTCACCTTCTTTCCGGGCAACTGGCTGCGCACTGGCGACGTGGCCTTCTACGACGAGGACGGCTACTTCTACATCACGGACCGCATGAAGGAGCTGATCAAGGTGAAGGGCTTCCAGGTGCCCCCAGCGGAGCTGGAGGCGGTACTCCGCGACCACCCGAAGATCCTCGAGGCCGCTGTCTTTGGGATCCCGCACGAGCTGAACGGAGAAGCGCCACGAGCGATTGTCGTGCTCAGGCAGGGCCAGGAGGCCACGGCCGAGGACATCGCCGCCTATGTGGCCGAGCGTGTGGCCCACTACAAGAGGCTCGAGGGCGGCGTTATCTTCGTGGACGAGGTGCCCAAGAATCCCACCGGCAAGATACTGCGCAAGGACCTCAAGGCTCAGTATTCCGACTGAGCCCTAAGCACGCCTCCCTAGATCGGGATCTACGAGTACGAGTACTATATATATTTTTCAATCGTTTTTTTTTTGTCGTTTTATAATGTGTGTATGATATCCATCAATGTTGGCCCTGGTCCGAAGAGTTGATCCCGTGCGGGCTTGTGTGAGCATTGCATTTAGACCTTCGAAAACATTTAGTCCTAGACTTAGAAGTAGGTCTCGATTAGGCATTCGATTGGTCCATAGTATGTAAGAGTAGAATAGGCTGAACTCGTAGTGTAAGCACCCTCTTCCACTCCCCCTACCTATCCCTATCCTATCCCGTACCTAGCCCCTACCCAACATCCATACATCAGCTCTAAAACTATAATCTATTACACTATATACATATATATATATATCAGATCAGATCAGATCGATCTATTATACTTAATGACGGACCCAGATCGTATTGGAGCGTTGATATTTCAAAGTTTAAAGACGAAATTATGATATTCACAACTAATTTTTTTTTTTTGTATAGTGTCCTAAAATGTATTTGTTTGTTAAATGTATGGTAAAGAGATGCTGGCATATGGCATGCATCCATAAATGTATATGATATGTGTGCTATAATATTTGAGAATAAAGACGGAATGAACAAGTTACAAATTGTTTTGAGTATTCGAAAGGGAATCCCTAGGATATGGCTCTGAAAGTGCAGTGGCCCAGCCTTAAAAGAATCTCTTGTTTTTTTGGAAAACCCTAACCCCATCCGTCATCACATTATTTGTATTTTATCAATTATTACCAGCAGACATTTTGCACCTATTAAAATTTGATGTCAATCCAAAAAGTATCATTTGATTGATGGGCCTACAAATTGTCAAAAAATCCAGACAATATTGTGGCACATGATTGAAATAAAACCACAACATAAATGAATAGTTCCGCCTGGATAGGTTGAAAGTCAAGTCCATTCTACATACATATATGGACATACATACGTATGTGTATGTGTTGTATTGAAGATCGCCAAGAAAGGTGTTGGTTTACTGAGCGTTTAAAAATATCAGCATTACTGTAATAGAGCCTCTATTCAAATGACCAGAGTTACATTAATCTTTAGTTAAACTGCTCCAAACAGAATCGAATAAGTACTACAATATTCCCATGTCTGATTTTAAGCAATGTTTTTCCGTAACAGATTTCAACATTTCTGAGAAATTCGTCGGGCACTGCAAATTCTACATGCATAGTACCTTGTCTAAGTGCTCATAAATATAGTATTTGATGTAGATGTAACAAAAATAAGCTTAGACCTCAAAAAAGATTGAGTTTTCACGGCACAGCCTATAATCCTACGATCCGGTCCGAAGACGGTCCTTTTATGTGATTCAAAGCATTTTTCGGTGAATTTCTTTTTCAATTTATTTATTTACGACAAAATACACAAAATTTAAGATTTGATTTATTTAGTTTTAGTTTTTAGTTTAGTTCCTTTTCGTTTAGATGTCTTCTTGCACTTTAGCTGTTATTGTACGCTGAATTACGATTTATGTGAATTACTTGCACTTAATATACAATAGAAAAAAATAGATGTATATATGTATGTGTTAGTGTGTGTGTGTGTGTGTGTGTGTGTGTGTGTGAATACATAGTAAATATATATATGTCTGCAAATGTAAGCTGATTTTGATAGCTGATCGTTCGGGATATTGCTTAAACAAATTAAGGTTAATTACGCTAGAAAAACAAAACGGATCCGGTCTCAAAAAACTCACAAAAATTGCTATAACTAAATTCCAGTTAAGTGTAACAAAACTGATTCCCTCTCTTTCCCTTTTTTTTTGGTATATAATTTTGTTAGTTTTGCTAAAAAGTGCAAAAATGAAGTCCAAAATTTGTTAAATGCATCCATTTACATACATACATACTCGTGCATGCACAAGAGAATACATAATAATAATATTAATAATAATAATAATATAAATAGAACAAAAAAACCACAAAAAAATACGTATATCGAGACGAATATCTTGAATCGGACCTCACTGGGTTATAACAAAAAGATTCGATACATATTATGGATAGGATGAGACATAAAATGGTACAATCGGTTCTCTTTTTGTGCACAAAAACTCAATACAAATATGATTCGGTCATGGGTGTGTGCTTGTGAGTGTGTTTGTGTGTGTGCGTGTGTGTGAGTGTTGGAAGAGCTCAAGCTATGGCGGTCCCGAAGAATAAACCGTGTTGTGAAGCGACAAGGATCAGAAACTCTCTGACTGTCTGTGGCTCTCCGTTGGATAAATTCTCACCGTCACATTCGAAGGCAGTTTCAGTAGTTTGAACAGTTTGGAAATGCAAAAGTTGCTGCTTGTGTTGTGCAGTGTAGCCAGTAAGCGGATCGAAAGGAGGGCCCTACACAACACTGTTTGTAGTGGAAACCCCAGTGGGTTCGGTTCGAAGCACAATTTCATAGTTTAAGTATAAGTATAATGTATAAGTATATATAGTAGATGCGTGTATATATATATGTATATATAAAGTAGCTAAGATTCTGCACAATTCTCTTAATGTATGTTTTTTTGGTTGTTTTGTTGCTGGTTAAAGTTATACAAATCTCATACTTCTATTTATTTGTATTTGATTCTGTTATATGGAGAAAAGGCCACAAAATGCTGCGTACGAAATGCATAACTTTAGCTGAGATTAACGTTCGTCCTTTTTGATTGTTACACGGATATACTACTACATCGATCAGGCACACACACACACACACACACACACTCGCGCACATGCACACAGTATATGACATACACATATCTGTAAATATATATAATATCGGAGTACATTTTGCTATGTTCGATTGCGTTTATCGATCGATTGCTGCGATCGGCATCGCCTCTCGTTTTCCTGATGCTGCTTCCGCACTGCATCTCGCTCTAACAAATGCCAGCTCCCCCTCCGTATCTCTCTCCCTCTCTCTCTCTTTGTTTAGCTCCATCTTTCTCCATCTTTCTCCGTTCCTTGTCAGTTACAATTCCTTTGCGGTGCGTTACGTTGTCATTGCCATGTGCTGGATGTCCCATTCCATTAGGTCTCACGCCTTGGCCCCGGGTATCTTGGCCAGCACCTTGGACAGATCCACTCCGGTGAGGGCATTGATCGAGGGGGGCAGCTGGGCCACCAGGCGGGTCACATCGTTTGTCACATTGTCGTTACCTCCGATCAGGACAATCTCCTCCGTCTTGGCCAAGGGAGCAGCCACCTCGGCAGCAATCTGCGGAACAGTTTACGATTAATACTCTTTAAGTGTCAAAAATAGAGTCAACAAATAGTGGACAGACCTTCGGCAGCGATTCGAGGACAATGTTCATGATGGCAGCATCGCCGTACTGCTTGTAGACATGAGCCTTCATCCGCATCCGCTCCGCCTCGGCCTTGCCGACCAGCTCGATGGCATGGGCCTCGGCCGCACCGATCTTCCTGATGCGCTCCGCCTCGGCACGGGCGCCCTCAATGGTCTGGCATCTGTTGGGGTGATACGAATATGAATATGAATAAAGGGCCTCCAATAGTGGGGCTTCGACTCACTGTTTGGCCTGGGCCAGGGTTTGTAGTCGGAAGGCCTCCGCCTCGGCTGGCAGCTTGACGGTGCCGGTGAGCTCTTTGTCCTTGCGCTGGACCTCCTGCGACTCGATCTCGATCTGCTTGCGGCGCTCGACAACCTCGATCTGGATCTCCTCGTTACGGATCCGCTGGCGGATCTTGGCCGCCTGCAACTCGTACGCCAGCTGCGACTCGGCCTTGGCCGTGTTGATCTCCTGATCGAAGTTGGCCTTCTGCAGCTTGTACATGCGCGTGTTGTCCTCGATCTTGGTGTCCGTCGAGTACTTCACATCCATGGCGCTCTTCTCGCACTCGGCCTCCCGGATGCCGGCGTCTCGATTGGCCTCCGCCACTCCGGCATCGGCGTCGCGCTTCACCACAGCGGTCTGCGCCTTGCCCAGGGAGGCCAGGTACTGCACATCGTCGTAGACATCCTTGATGGTGAAGGACAGTATCTCGATGCCCATGCGACCCACGTCAGGTGCGGCCACCTCGCGCACCAAGGCCGCGAACTGGTCGCGGTCTTTGTACACCTCTTCGACTGTAAGCGTTCCTGCAAAGCGGAACAGAATGGAAAACGGTATGAGGCGTGGGGTATGAGATGGCACTTGTACAGGTCAGGCAAGAGCTTGGGGGTGTGGATGGGGGTGGAGGCGGGAATGAGAATGGGTTTGGTGGTGGTTTGGAATCAATCGATTGCCTTACCGGCTGACCACCAAACTGGTGACGCCCACTATCATGGCCACCTTGAAGACGCCCATCCACACGACGGACATGTCGCCAGCCAACTGGCGCGCCACGGAGGCTCAGGGCTACTTATTGGCTCGCAGGCTATCTACTCGTACACAGCTGTGGTTATCTATCTATCTGTCTTTTGGTAGCTTTTAATCAAAGCTCTTTCTTGTTCTGTCTTCGCTCTGACGTCATTTGGCGCAGTCTTATCGGTGGCCTTATCAGACTGATAGCCCAACTGACGTCACTCATGGGAGTCCGAGTCCGAACAAGACTGGAATCCAGTTGCAGCGATCAAATCCTCTTCGGAGGCCAGTTCTCATCCCCTGTAGTCAAGGTCACCCCCGGTCGACCACCCACAACAAAAGTATGCACGTATAAATTCTCACACGCGATTGGAATCGGAGACTCGGAGACCCGTAGAGACCCCACGACCAGAGCGTGTCGCGTTGAGCTCGCAACTGACATCGGACCGCAATCGAAAGCGAGACAGAGACCCCCCTCCCCCCCAGACACAGGCCACAGACGCAGTCCCAGCCCCAGCCCCAGCCACAGCCACAGTCCCAGCCCGGACCCGGCTTTGCTTAGTGGTTTTGTAATCGTTTCAGTATTCGCACTCAAATTGATATTGTCTGTCCGCCTTGTAATTGTTGTAGTCGCGCTTATGAAAACTACCTTGAGAGCGGAGGTACCTTGAGTTGGGGTCTCGTAAAAGTTTGCCCACAGCGCGCAGGCCCTAGACTCGAATTGGGTTTAATTGAAAGCCATGGACTGGGCAGAGCGAGGGCTCGAGATCTAGAGAAAAAGAGCTGGCAAAAGTTGAGAAGCAGCCTCCCCGCTGAGTTATTTAATGTCGTCCATCAGTTTTTATGAACGGAGCAAGGTTAAGGTCTTCGAGGGAGATTCGAATAGATAGAGCACAAAATATTTCATGAACGTTCGATTATCGGGAACAACCCCTATCGCTCTTGCAAATCAATTCGCATCGAGATATGATATCATAATAGAACCCGATTCATGAATGCAAGTATTTACGAGTACTTGATTACATATTCAGTTGCCACACAGACAATCAATCAATATAAATATATACTCGAGGGAGTACCAGGTGTACGAGTACCATTTGAGTTTAATCAAGGGACATGACACATCTAAGGGAATGGAATTACTGAATAATTAGTTTATATTATCCGTTGCAAACTGGACACTTGACACGGCCATGCTGGCAGACCATCGGGGCTGCTTATCCTTCTCCTCCTTTGTGTCTACCTAGAGGGCACTGGCGCTGGCATGGGTTGAAGAGAAGCGGCAAAGGGGACACCTCTGCTCCGGCGACAGGTGTGGATGCACGAGAAACAGAAAGCCTCTCCAGCCCTACTTTTGCCATAACGATTTCCAAGCAAATGAGGCAGATCTTGTCCTTGGATAGCTCTTTGGCAAAAGCAAGATTCATTTTCCTTTCGGGCTCTTTCTGGCCAAACCTTTGCGATCCCGGCCCATCTACTTACAAATCTGTCACACTTTTTGAATCGGAATCGTAATCTGAATCTCTTGGAAGCTTAGAGCTTTTGTTTGCCTCTGCACCTGTTTTTCTCTCTGGTTGAAAATATGTGACAGGGTATTCTGCACCTCGTTCCGGCAGGATGGAGTAAAGGATCCCATCTGGTTGGGGGACAGTATTTCTGGTTGGCATTCATTTCTTCGATATTTTTCAAGTAAATGAATGTGGTTTCTACTTTTGCTCAAGTTCCCATTTGAAGCCGTCTGGGAGTCCTGATTCTGCTGCTGCTCCTGCAGAATATGGGGGCATTCACCCAGCTGGTACTCGGCCCCTCTGCAGTATAATCTTTGCAAATGAAAGGGGTAAATGTCTTGGCCTTCAACCGAGTGCTGATTCAATTCAAGGTCCGATCCGTTCATCTTGAACGGATTTTACAAGTCTTTAAATTTTCCAGGACAATTCTGATACGAATGCTGACCTCAAACCGGGTAATTGTTTTCGATAGTTGAGTCGAATACCACTAGGATGTTACTTGAAAGGAAACTCAGTTCCGAATTGTGTTCAAAAAAGACGCAAAAATGTTCAAATATCTAAAAAAAAAATCAGCTCTTTTCGATATCTTTTAAGTATTTCAGCGGAAATATACCACAATCAGTAGTGTTCGTCTCCGTTCTGTTATGGGAAATTTGTGCAGCGCATCATTGTCTTCTACATTATCTCTACTTACGAGGATTTGGAAAAGTATTCTTTGAGCAGTCACTTCTGCTTTAAAAAACGACAACTTTGCCGGAAATGGAGGACGATTCCTAAACTTTTCTCTTGGTTTTTATTTGTTAAAGGAGACAATTCAAAAGATTCATATTATCCAATCATGAAGTACCTAATGTTGTCCCTATGAAAGCACGAGTCCCCATAACAGAGCATTTTTTATTTTCGAAAAATTCAATGATCCTGTCATCCCATGGCCAACCCAAACATTCTCCCTCTCTTCTCATTTTTTGAAAAAATCGGGGACCCCGTTTCAATCAATACAGCAGAGCAACGTCAAGGAATTCCTTTTAGGGAGAAAAAGCACGAATTAAAGCAGGCACTGATTTCAAATTCTATCCCTGATGTGTGCGGCAGCCGGCACCGAGAGCTCAGTACATTTTTACACTCGAAGCAGAACGCACACGTATCAAAAATCTCAAATAATATTTTTCGGAAATATTTTCTCGCTCTGATTTTTTGGTTTTTGGTGAAAGTGAGCCAAGGTAAAAAATATTTAAATTTCTACGAGACAATAATTTTCCACGTTCGACGGTTGGCCGCCTGGCCATAGGTAGGAACGAAATATGTCCAAGACGGTGCTCAACAGTCACGGCCAGATGGCGGCTTCGGCGGCTCTTCGGGCTCCGCTGTGGCGCCCCGTGGTGCTGCACTATCCGAAAAAGCTGCTCCCCCACGGACAGATGCGTCGTCGGGAGCCGGCTATTGACTACCCGGCCTCCTACCAGTCATCCAAGCTGCGCTGCGGCCTGACGCAGCCTTACGCCTTCGACCATGGCCGCCCCGGCCAGTACTGCCCGGAGTGTCAGTGCAACAAGGACAGGAACCATGGTGGCGGTGGTGGCAGGGGTGGGGGTGACGGTGACATGGACGATACTGTGTCCCAGTGCTCGCGAGTGTCCAGGGCTTCAAAGCGCTCCATACGTTCCACAAAATCCAAGCGCGACGACGGCGATGGCGATGCTCCCCTCAGCCATCGCAGTGATACCTCTGTAAAGACCGTGATATCTACGGCCACACTGAAGAGCGGACACAGCAAGAGATCGCCATCCCAGGAGACGGTCAAATCCTGTGCCACAGTCAAGTCAAGTGCTTCGATCAAGTCGAACGTCTCAGTCAAGTCCAATGCCACAGTCAAGTCCAATGCCACAGTCAAGTCCAATGCCACAGTCAAGTCCAATGCCACAGTCAAGTCCAATGCGACAGTCAAGTCGAGTGCCGGAGGTGTGAAGGAGTCCAAGGCAGACACAGTCCGGGCCAAGGCAAGCCGTCACTCCCAAAGCGACATAATGCCACACCCCCACCCAGGCCCCAAGCAGCCCCCGAAGGAGGCACAGACTGGATACGAGAACTACGCTCCCATGACGAGCGCGGAGCGCAAGGCTGCCCTCGACGAGGCCCGATTCAAGTACGACAAGCTGATCGCCGAGTACAACCATCTGCCGGTGTCGGTGCCGACGCTGCGCGTGCGCAACCGCAAGATCGACATCGAGCGGGAGCTGGACGAGCTGGACTACAACATCAACATGTTCGACCAGCCGAACATCAACGTCTACTACCGTCGTTAGCTTTGATATTGATGTTGATTGCTTTCGTCTATTTTTTCTTTTTTTTTTAGTTTTATTCAAAATTTGATTATTTTTCCAGAGCCACACAGACCAAAACGGACACAGTAAACATCATATAGTATTTAGTATATAGTACATAGAAGATGACTTACAGGGGTACTAAAACAAAAACAAAACACGCCAATCGAAACACCAAGAATAATGCATTACCAGAGATATCCGCACACAAATTTAATGCACTACAAATAAATTATACTCGTAATTTCAGCAGCAGAAACCATTGGAAGGTCTATTACTAGGAGTGTGGTCTAGGTACTCTGGGCAGACTAGGTTGCTGTAAAAGAGCTGCCAAAAAGGTTTTATCGGCTAGCATTCGAAGAGCTGGGGGACAGTTTTTGGGAGATGTTATGGGGCCTTCGATGGACGTGCTTTTTGCTACTCCGTAGAGAAGTTGAACTGCCAATCCCAAGGCGGATTCGGTCAATGGATTAGCTAAGTCAGCCTGGGGTGTGGGCACTTTTTTGTCAGCTTTCATATTTCTAATCAGACTCTCTGTATACATCGTAGGAGCCTCCGACACAGGCAGGCACCTTGACACCTAGTGACATCTCGCACCAACGAATCTTGATAGACTTTTTGTATTGTGTCCCATATGCCTGCCAATTCTCAATCCATGCCCATCATCATAGCCCAACAGTGAGAGTATACTTGGCACAACAAATTAGGCTGTAGGCTTATTCAATATTGGGGGTATGGTTCAACATATAAAGAAGGGCATGCGATCTATTCGACCTGGCCTGTAACCTCATTTTTTTCCACAGTGAACTTATTCCTATATTTGATTTGCTTCACTTCAAATAGCTTCGAATCCTTTTGAATCGCTTTGAATCTCTTCGAATCCCTTTGAACTTACCCAATATGGCGCGCAGGTGTCCCTCGAGGGTCTGCAGGATCGTCTGCTTGATCTCTTTGACGCTCTTGCCCAGGAATTGCTCACTAGCAGTGCCCAGAAGCTCGTCGGCCTGATGATGGAAATAATATACATTCATCATCTGTGCGTGGGCGTGGCAGTATGTGGGTGGTGTGTGTGTATGTGTCAGTAATGTATGGGTGTGTGTGTGTGTTGTTTGATAGAATGGTAACATTTCGATTAATCGATTGATCGATTTTGATTGTTTTTTTTGTGGTTGTTGGATCCGCAGGAGGTTTTGTTGTTGTAGATCACCCACACAAGCACACATGCACACGTAGATACACATACACACGCACACACACACACGTAAGCACACACGCATAGAGACAGCGTGTGTGTGTCAGAGATAAAGAGAGAGAGAGAGATACAAAGAGAATAGAGAGCGATACATGGATTAACGGTAACAGCAGTAACCATATAGCAGTAACGGTAGCAGTAACGGTAGTAGTAGTAACGGAGTAGAGGAGCAGTTTTCGAGTAGACCATACATATGTATTGTATATAGATATTGTTTGTTCAAATCAATTCGAAACGATTTGTTGTTGTTGTTTAATTGATGCGTATGTTGGTGTGTGTTGGTGAGTGTTGGTGTGTGTTGGTGAGTGTTGGTGTGTGGTTAAATTTTGTCGATATCATTTACAATTAGTTGCGGATTAGTTTGATGAGTTGATTCGAGTTGGTTCGAGTGGTGGATTCGAGTTGAGTTGGAGTCGAACGATCGATCGGCAGGGTAATTGGTTGATTTTGGTTGATTTGGTGGTTGGTGAAAAGAGAGTAGAGAAAAAAGTGTAGAACACAAAGGTCAACAAGGTTTACGTTTTGTTTATTCATTGTTTTTTGTATTTGAAATTGTAATTATTTGTAGACTGTACTTGTCTTTCTCCTTCTCCTTCTTCTTCTTCTACCTCATCTTCTGATGATGATGATTGAATGACTTTGAACAGAACAAAATAAAAAAAAAGCCAACCAGAAAAAAAAACAAACAATAGAAACATGCATCAAACATTACGGAACAAATGAAGGACATTCAAAGGATTTTCCCTATGTGAGTGCGTGTGTGTACGTGTGTGTGCGTGTGTGTGTTTGGCGCCCAGTGATTGATAAAAGCAACATAAAGAAAACAAAGAAAATGTATGTAAACCCAAATCGATGGATGGCAACAACTTAAACAGGACTCGACACCAGGCCAAAAACAGTTTCAAAACAAAATTCTATGTGAAATCAAATAAACATACCTCGTCGTTATTATAATCGTTATTCTTATACGAAGATGACTGCAAAATCGAATTGAAATAATTAAGTAATGGAACATAATTTGGAGGCATACATCTACATATATCACGAATGCATCGATCATAATTCAGACCATAAATTAGAAAAAGCAAACCACTCGTATGTCGATCGGATCGTACATCGAGTCATCGAGTGCTTTTGTGATTCGCGTGCCCAATTCACAGGCGGTGCAGTAAAGATCACAGATCAAAGTGATCAGTGATCAGCGATCAGCGATCAGTGATCAGTGATCAGCGATCAGAGATCAGTGATAGGTGTGATGGCAATGGCGGAGGAGTGATCGAATGGGTGCACGGATAAACAAGTGATCTAATAATCGGGCTATCACATGATTGAGTTAGTCATCAGGTCAATCAAATGATTGAGTGATCGAGTAAAAAATGGATAAACATACAACTAATCGATAATCGATCGATAGCATTACCGAATAGTTTGGGGATATACACATAAATAAAAGGGTGAAAAATGGTTGGATTAAAAGAGCATCAACAAAAGACTGGGATGTGGGATCATTAACAGATCCAGTGACAGAAATATCAAATAATCAATCGAAATCGATCGATAGCATAATCAACAGCATCTAAATACTGATCAAAATGAAACAAGGGTGGAGTCCAAAAGGAAAATTCATGTGGAAAACCAAAGAAAAGAAGCGGGTGTGTGGTGGCAAGTCTACTTCTAAATACGTGTGCGAGCATACAGCGACATCTAAGTCTAGAGCTAGGACTAGGGCTACATGAAAAGACCACTGGAATGGGTGATCTCTCAACTTACTTGGTGTCGGGCAGAGTTGGGGCGCTTGCAGGGCTAAATATGCATTCGATTGGGATGTTAGGGGTGTTGCTTGGGGCGGGTTTGGTTCAGATCGGAACAGCAAAGAATTTGTACAAAACAAAGAGCCAAATTTTGGATTAAAATACATTCGATACGGATGCGGCGGCTTAGGGCTAGACTAAGTACTAAGATGCAAGCGGGATGGGATACCAAATCTCTACGTTGCTACCAGCCCTGGGATCGGGCTCTCTCTCTACAGGGCTGGGGGATGCATCGGGATAATCGTTAAGGAACAAAATCTAGCTAGCATACAGAACTCAAAGAAAACGGGGGTGGGGTTGGGTGGGGTTGGGAGGGGCCAATCAATCAAGCTTCAATCAGTTTCGTTCAGATTCGATTCGTGGTGCAGAAGAATAAAGGGTTGCCAGAGTACTCGACAAACAAACCGAATGAAATAATACAGAAAATCCAAGAGTTTTGGCTGGGTGGGGGCGCTGTGGGAACGATGGGGTGTACCTTCATGATCTTGCATTGGGCCACGCCCGTCACGGTCAGCGGCACGCCCTGGGCCGTCTCCACGTTCTCGCACATCGGATTCAGGGTCATCACGTTCAGCGAGAGCCGCTGCACGTCCGTCACCAGCCACCAGGCCCAGGCCCATCCGCCGACGATGGTCCGCTTCTTCGTTGAGCCGCAGCAGCCACCTGAAAGGGAGACAGAGACAGACAGAGAGAGAGATGGTAAGTAACGGTATACGGTAACGGTATGGTTCAAATTGGCACCAAAAAATGGGTTAAAAGTTAGTTTAATTTTGTGGCTTAAAAATGTCTAAAACCCAGTGCATTATTTATTTATTTTACCCAAATTATGCAGAACTTTTTGATTCAGTCATGGCCTTCCTTCTCTTAAATACATATTATATTATAGCTAAAGGACACTTGCAGGGGAATACCAGAGGATTACCCATGGGAGCAAGTGGCCCGTGTGATACCAGCAGAAGGGTGTTACGCGCGGATCCCGACCAGCTGACCGAGGGGCGCTGCCGCACGATCGCGAACATGCAGGAAAGATAGCTGTTGGACTAATATGCGAGGAAAATGATAACTCAATTTATTAAGAGAACTACTAATTATGAGAGAGGTATGTGAGTATTAGTAATTTAAGAAGAGGAAGGGAATTAGTGGTGGATATAATATGGTAGAGGGCGGTATAATCCGAGCTTAAGACCCCAAACGGAAGTGAAAGAAACAACGGTATATACATAGTTTCTTGTGAATCGAATAGGAATCGTGAAGACTATGCGTTTAGGCAAGGGTTTTAAATGTTACCTTATTGGTATTGGTAATGGAAATATTAATAACCAGGTGATGGTTTGAGTATGTAGTACTTTAATGGTTTTTAAAAGAGTATTTGGTGCTTTTTTCTGTTGAACATTGAAGAGTGTGAAGGGTGTGCTTCCTCTCTCATCTTCTCCATTTAATTGTGCATTTAACTGCCTGACGTCACTGGGCGGCCACAGTGACCCACAAAAAGGTGTTGTCAGAGAGTACGAACCTTTGGTCGGGGCGAGCTTTTGGCCAGTAGACCATAAAATAAGAGTGAAAGCATTTCGCCAGCACTCTCCACACGCATACAAGACGGCAGGCACTGTGTGAGCGTGTCTACGTGCCGGCAAACACGTCGGGGAGTGTTGGCCATCAATACATGGCCCAAACCAAGAGGCACTGCTGCGACAAGCCAAACAGGAAGTGCAGCCAATTGGCCATATCAGGTGGAAACTAACGGACACCTTGTCAAGGGCCCCTCCCTCCGCCTGCCTGTCTGTACGAGTACGAGTACGAGTACATGCAGGCCGCGCATGCGCAATGCGCACTCTCCAGACCAGTCAGTGAGAGATGGCCAGCAAGAGAAAGAGAGCCAGAGTGCTGGAGAGTTGGAGAGCGCGAGAGAGCCAGCCCAA